CCTTTAACATTCTCAACATTCATTTTGAGTCTGGAGGTGGTATGAAAACAGTCCTCTCCCCAAGACATCCTGGCTTTACCACTTAGCTTCCTCCATAGGCATGCCATCTGCCTGGTATACATTCTTCCAAGTTCAGACCTGGGTGAGACCTCAGAGATGAACTAATACAAACAAGCTCTGACCTCCATGTCACACTCCACTCAAGAAATGAACTCAAGGCCTAAGGTGAAGTGGCTTGCTCAGGGTCACAGGGCTGGACAGAGGCGAAGTCTGTCTCTATGCAAGTCCTTTGCTCACGCTTGTCTTAGCTGCTAGGAGTTGGGTGTCACAGTGATTTCAGAGCAACAACACACAAATGTCACTCCCTTTCCTCTAAGACCCCAAGAGGCTTCCTATCTCAGGGAAAGAGCAGGAGCTTGGGTTTTACCTGGGGAGCCAGCAGGTATTTTGGTATCTTTAATCTTAATTCTGTTTTGTTCAATTGCTGAAGAGATTAGTAGCTTGCATTTTTGGGCCAGACCAGACTAGGCTCCATTATCAGATTTTTCTGCTGTGTGACCCTGGGCGAGAACAGTAATTTCTTCATGCCTCACTTTCCTTATCTAGGAAATGGGCATAATAACACAGGAGCACAAAGTGCTTTCCACACTTCCTGGACCACAATAAGGAACTCCCACATTGTAGCTATCCAGCTGTTTTTTGGAAGTTCAAGAAACTGATCTTAATTCCCTTCAACCTCTCCATCCTATCCCTTTCGGGTCTTCTTTACTTCGTATAGTTCTGCAGATTGTCAAATGCTCAGAAAAGTCAGTCACCACAGATTTGCACATGATGGGTACAAGAGGTTTTGTGTTTTGGTTTCCCTGTTCTCTTCCCAAAAGGCCCAGAATTTTTTGTATGAGTTGTGAGACAGCAAAGTAGGTTGAAAGGACTGGGCTTGAGTCCTGGTAAAATAACAGATTCCTAGGGTATATTTTGAGTAATGCACGGGACCACAGAAATGTGGGCAAACTCTTTAATTCTATAGCTACAGAAGCCAAGGCTTTCGGGCTGGAATAATCCTCAGTCATCCGATCGGTCACCAGCAGGGCAAGGCCTAACGCCTTGGGTCCCTCTCCTGGCTCCGTGCTATTTCCATCAAACCGGCTGCGTGCCATTAACCCCACCGCCCAAAGCGCTAAGGAAGTTCCCGCCCAGTGCCTACCCTGGCAGGGTGGGGCGAGTTTGTGGCTTGGAAAGAACCGGGAAGACGACCTGCAGCAACTCCCCGCGCGCGTAAACTGCTCCTGCGATTCCGGGGGAGGGGTGTGCGTGGGAGGGGGTGGGTGGGTGAAGACGCCTGGCCCGGTACCCCGAGGTGCCCGGTGTCCTGGAGACCGGCTGCTCGGTGAAGCCCCTTATTATCTCCTGGCCTGTTCCCCCAGTGCACTGGCTGCACGGGGGCGTCCTGCTTGGAGGGCTCCCCAATATAGCACGGACTGTGCTCGCTCCGGGCCGGAGGGGACAAGCTGCTGTCGCTGTCCTGCCCCTGCGGTTTTCGCAGGTCTCCTTGAGATTTTTCCGTCTTCCCGCTCTCCGACCCCGCCGGGAGCAGCGCGAGGTTGGGTTGACTATGGTCGCTCTTCCTTCGCCACTTCTGCGACTTTTACCCCAGGGAGCTGAATCCCGTGCTCCCTCCTCAGCCCCCACCTTGACAAACGTCCCCCAAACCTGCCACGTTAAAAGTGCGCGACTTCTCCGGGGCCTGCAGCAGGAGCTCCCGCAGCCCCGCATTCCTGGGATTCCAGCGCTGTGACGTCCCCCGGGACCGCGCGCCTCCAGCTCC